ATTTAATATTTTGTAAGTTATTTTCAAATCATATTATTCTGCCTGAAAGGGAATGCCTACAATAAATATTTTTAAACATAATGATTATGAGACTTTCTGAAATGGGAAAAGAAGATTTTTTAATTTCATATTCTGTCTATTTAATTATTTCTAAATCTCACTATGCAAATTGGTTTATTATTCATGATACGGTTTAAAACAATTTCAACTTTAAGAGAGACAGAAGGCCACAAATCCATATTTTTATGCCGTTTAATATTATTGTGAAAAACATTTTAATTATGCTTTAATATTATTTACTTATCTTAAATTTCGTATAAAACAATTTATAAAATACAGAGAAAATATTCAAAATAACGAAATTTGAAAATTTAGGGCAGGGCTTTAAATAATCAGAGCTAAAAAATGCAGACCGAAGAACACAGGTATATTAATTTACGACATTTATATTATTTATTTTATTACCAATTATGACATTGAAATATGTTAAATTCAATTTTGTCTGTACTATAAAAAATAGCTAAATATTAATAAAAGTATAATTTTTTTGGCGTTGATAAAGCTATCCTTTCAAAAATAACCCAGCGGCTGAAATAATATTTTTCTATTAAAATCTTTAGACATTTTTGGAATTGGATAAAAATAAAGTTATTACCAAATTATAATTTACTTCTGACACCTTACTAAGATGAAAGGTGCAATAATTTTTTTTCAATTTTTTTAAAGATTTATAAATAGATTACATGACTTGTTTATTAACTCATATTTTGTTATATTTTATTACTCTAAAATAATAATTTAATTTTTTTTAAATTCTGGAACCCTAACTGAACTTGGGATCAAGACTAGTGCCTGAAATCTAACTCGTTATATTAAAATTTATTAATGTTTACAACCCTTAATATTTTTGATTAGTAATTTTTTTAAATCTCACTTTCGCGTTTCAATTTATAAATAGAATTTAATTTTATTTATAAAACTCTTCATATATTATTAAAGATCAATTCACTATATTGCCACAAAAATGAATTTTTCTAACCAAAAATCTAATAATAATAATATGAGAATACAATTTGCTAGCTGCTTATAGAGTTTTATATTTTTACTAAAAATATAAAATAATATAAAAATATATATTTGCTATTTTCTTTTTTATTATAATTGAATACATTATTGTAAAATTATATATTTAAATAAAAGTACTAATTTTCTTAAGGTTTGCCTTTAGGGTTCGCCATAACCCCGTTCTCCCCTACAAGTTTTCAATAAATTAAAAAGAAAAAACTTGACGTTTAATATTTAAAATAATTAGATTAGAATCTTTTTTATATATTTTGAGTCAAAAAAAAGAAAAGCCTTAGCCTTAATTTCAATAAAAAAAATGTTTTTAGAGCCAATCCCCATTTTAACTTAATTTTCAGATTCAACTAAGTCAGTCGAAAAGTCGATATATATAAAATTGTAACTTTCATGTTTAATATTTAAAATGATTATATGAAAAAGAGAAATCTATTTTATTACTTAGAATCTTTTTTATATATTTAGAGTCAAAACCTTAATTTCAATAAAAAAATGTAACTTTCATGAAACTCCATTCGCGATATGATAATGCATTCGCTATAAATGCATTCTCTATAATGCATTCGCTATAATGTATTCGCGATTATTCATTCGCGATAATTCATTCGCTATAATGCATTCGCGATAATATATTCGCGATAATTCATTCGCTGTAATGTATTCGCTATAATAAATTCGCGATAACATTTTCGCGGTATTACATTCGCGCTAATACATTCGCTATAATATTTTCGCTGTATTATATTCGCGGTAATGCATTCGCTATATTATATTCGCGATAATGCATTCGCTATAATATCTTTTCGCGTAAGCGACATTCGCGATAATACTTTTCGCGGTATTGACATGTAACCCTTAAGTTTTTAATTTGAATTCCCTGCAAGAATCGTATAAATATGTTGGCGGACTACTGCTGGAGTATCTTTTTTGAAAATAAATCATCAACTTCATATTCGCGAAAATATATTTAGATTTACCATTAAATGTTTTTAAATTCGATAAAGTTATTGTTTAATTTGTTTTAAATTCAATCAATTTATTGTATATTACAAGTTAAATCCTAAAGGTTTGTTAAAAGTAAAATATGAGATAGGTTAGCTTAGCATAATATATTTATTTAAATATGAGAAATGTAACTATTTCATTTAAAATAAATTAATCGTACCTTGTGCAGAGAAGAGAACGAAAGCCACAATAAATATATTAAATGTAAGCTATATTAAAAAAGAGAATCTAGGAAAATAAATCCCCTAACTGGGATTATGTAATAACATTTCTGGAGTTGGAAACTTTTAAATAAAAAAGTTTTTATTTTAAGATTATAGTCCCTCATGTGTTTTCTTTAATGAATTGAATATATTAAAAATTATAATATTTATAAAAATAAACAAATATTATTTAGAATAAATAGTATATTTTTTTGTAATGTTCTACTTGAGATAGTCTTTGAATTAAATAAGCTTGTAGGGTATTTTATTTCCTAGGAATTATTTTCCTGGCGATTTTTTTCCGGGGAATTAATTTTCTGGGATTTTTTTTCCGGGTAACTATTTTCCTAGATTCAATTTATTAATACCTTTTAATTGGATTCTCTTTGCTTTTGGGGAAATAAGTAAATCAAAATTTCATCTACGTCGATGTTACATTCTTCTATGCAAATCAAATCTAACAAGTTTTCCATTTGTTTTTTTACTTCATTAATTTCTTCCAACGACAACATCCTCATTTGTCGGAACTTTGGTATTAAAAATGTTGAAACTTTATGGAGCATATGAATTTTAAATTTTTCAATTATAAAATTTTTAGCTCATTTCTTTATTATTTCTTTTTCGCATTTTGTTTTTCTCTCCATTTGTTTTCATTATGCTCATGTAGAAGATTATACCTAATTTTTTTATAAATAAAGAAAAAATGGGCATAGTGTAGGCCTGCAATCATCCTCAAGAGCATTAGTTGCATCTTTATATGGTTCCAAATAATCTATCAGTGTTTTTAAATCTTCCTTTCCCATAGATCCCATTTTTTCAGTCATATCACGAGATTGTAAGAATAAAAAAATCTCATACATTATATAAATGCTTTGTAGCATATTATGCTTTGTATTCCATCTTATATCAATATTTTGTAGTAACGTCTTGCTTAGATATTTTACGTTGCCACTTTGTTTGAAATAAGTCGTCAATGATTTTGCAGTTACCAAAATATTATTAATCTCGGGAGCATTTTCTAAAATAAAAGTTGACTGGAAGGTATTACGAAGTATTGTGTTCAGCATATGTGCTGAACAGTTTAGTCTATTAAACCTAATATTTGAAAAAATAAAAGGAAAATATAGTTCTTTAAATAGGAATTCTCAGAAATTATTATAATATCTACCTAATTAAATTTTATTTAATAAAAAATTTACCCTTCCAAAGCTTTTTTTATATTTGCTCCTTGATCCGTAACAAAGATGAGCTTGGAAAAATATTCTCGAGGAACACCAATTTTTAAAAATTTTTTTAATAATTCTTTAAGAATATTTTCTCCCGTCTTTTTTTCATCTTGAAATTTTGAAATAAAAAGAAATTTTTTTTCTAATTTCCAATTTTTTATATAATGGATTGATAGAGATATGTAATCGGTTTTGGTAAATTCTTCACACCACATATCAGTAGTACATGAGCAAATGGAATTCTTTATCATTTCTACAAATTTAGGAAATAATATTTCCTTAAGATCCTCAGTAACTTTGGATACGTTGCGGCTAACTGTTGTAGCACTAGGGATGATCTTATTAACATCCAATTTACCATATGTTGCCCCTAAGTCGGTAAATATTTGTAAAATATTTATAAATCCAGGTCTTGAAATGCCCTAAAAAAGATAAAAGAATAATTTATTAGATTAAAATACTTAATGTCTATAGCGCAATATTCTACAAAATTCGCTATTAGACCAGATTTTATCGTTTTGTTTAATTGAGAATTGTCTTTTTCAAAATATCCAGTTATTTTTTTATTATCTATCAAATCTTCATAATTTGCAGATGAACATTGATGCCGAAGGAAGAAGGAGGTGCCACTTTTGCTATTATATTTAAAGATGGACTCGTAATCATTGCAGCGAATCCAATCTAGTTTTTTGTCATTTTCATCAAAAATAATTTTAAATTGTTTCCACATTGACCATTTAAGTTTATTATTATTATCTTCATTGTTTTTTATCTTATAAAAATTATTTTTTATTTTCTTAGCTGTATATTCTTTATTCATAATTTAAAATTAAATTAAAAAATATTATTTTGTTAAAATTATGTTATAAAAAATAAAATTTATATATTATATAAGAAAATGAAAATAAAAAGGGCAATATAAAGATAAACAATCATTACTAAAATAAAATAATACAATGGAGTAATTTCATTATTCCCATATGTCTAAAAAATTATTTATTTTAAGAAAAAAGTTTTATTTTATTACCATAAAAGAAGATTTTAATTTGTTTATAGAAAAAGGTTTTTTTATTTGTAGAAAAAGTTTTAATTGAAGAAAAAGGTTGATTTATTTAATAAAAAGTTATACCAGAAAAAGACTTTTTTATTTTTTAAGTTGGTAAGAACAATTTTTTATTAATTAAAATAAAAAATTATAATTTTTTAACCCGCCCACCCATTGTTTAAATTTCTTAACCCACCCGCTCATTGTTAAAAATTTTTTTTAACCAGCCCGCCTGCCCGTTCTTAAAAAAATTTTTCCCGACCAATGCAGACCTCTGTATCAAATTACAATAGTTTTATCAATGTAAAGTTTTGGAATGTTTTTAATGTAACCAAGATATGCAAATTTTCAATATTTCTGATTTTATTTTAATTGTTTAATTCTTTATTAATGGATTTGCCAATAACGATATGATTTTTTTAATAAATAATTTAAAAAAAGGCGAATTTGATATATTACGAGGGAGTTCAAAATTTTTTGCACTACACAAAAATAGAATTTGATCTATTGACTCACGATTCGCTACTTAATTTGTTTCAAACCCAAGTTTATCTTTTGGACGAAAAGTATGTTCGATATAATTATATTTTTTTATTTTCTAATGCTATTTAATTATTCTATTCATCAAAGAATAAAAGGAATTCAAGCGCGCTCCCAATACATCAACGAATTGAAATTAGATAAAAAGGGAACATAATCCCCACTAACATTTAATTACTCTATCCAATTTTTATTACCAGGTTATATGTAAACATGCACACTATCTTTTGTATAAAAATTCTATACATCCATTTATTATGAATTATTATAAACAGACATAAACCCTCCATCTCAATTACATTATTCATAATATGTAATTTGATTTTCCATATCATGATATTTAAATATAATTTGTAAACAAAATTAGTTTTTTATTGGAAGACATATTTCTTTTGCAATCCCTCTTAGCCAAAATAATATATTGTAATATATATCTTTTCAAACATTTTGACGAAGTGTATATAAGAAAAACGAACATATTTGAGATAAATATTATTGTTAAATTTTGTTATTTTATGTTTTTTTTAGAAAAAATGCATTTATATAATATATCCATGAAAATCTGAAATTTCATGCTGGAATAATGAAATAGAATATGTTGATAAATCAATAAAACATTTAGATTTTTTATAATGTAAGATTTATTAAACACTATATGGAGGTAAATTGCAACATATATAACTAAAAAAATAATCTTGAAAATGTCTCCTCTGTGGAGCCTGGCAAAGTAATTTTTTCACGGGCCGACCCCGAATTTAAAATTTTTTATGTCCGAGTTAGACCTACCTTATTCTAAAATTGAGGTCGCGTGACTTTCAATGATTAAAATAATAAAATTAATTTACAAAGCGGAATTACGCGGGATAAACGCAATTACATTTTGTGTTGGTGAATTTATTTTATCCATTTTTCATATTTATAAAATCAAAATATAAAAAAATTAAATGGAAATACATATTTTTCGAAAGCTATTTTATTTAAAATATTCTAATTTTTAAGAAATAAATTTTGCTAATTCTTCAATTCATGTGAAAATTTTGCTTTATCATTAATATAGTTTCTAATAAATCAAGAGGGAGGAACGATTTTTTAATGATCTATCAAAAATATATAATTACAAATTTTTTTTCTAAATTTATAGCTTGATAGGTATAATACTGAAATCCTTTTTCCTATTTTGAAAACTTCAATAATATATCATTTATTGTAAAAACTTTATATTAATATCTAATATCATGAAACCATATCCTTTCTCAATATATTGGATAATTTTTTTTAAATATTTTTGAGCTACCTTTTTATTCTTCAATCTGGCCAATGTTATAACATTTGGTTAACATGGATTTTACAATTATCCCTTAAAATCCTTGCTATTATTGAGCCGCCAATCATATCCTCCATAAATGAGAATAAGTCGATTATTACAATATTATTATATTCAATTTTTATTTTCATTTTATCTAAGTAGCTACATACAAATACAAAAATCATCTTCAAAACCTAGTTTATGGTGTGTACATCCTATCTGTTTTTAATTAATTTTAGACGATTTAAAAAGTTTGGAAATTTGTTTTTTTAAGGGCTATGTGTGGAATAATTGTAAGCAGAAGCTAATCTGATCATATAAAACTTAGATTGTTTCAATCTAATACGGGAGACCGGACCGGGGTTATTTTTATCCATTAAAAATAAGTGTTATAAAAATAGACTAAGCAAATTTATCAAAATATAGAATTTTAAAAAATATCATGGTTTGTCAAGTGATTAAATCTATATTTTATTTACTTTTAATTTAATGACCCGTATTCCCTCAAAACTATAAAAATCGTAACAATTTCATTAAAATTATTTTATTTATTCTATGACAAATATAAAATTATTTACAAATATTAATAAAATGAATATCAAAAAAGATAACGTTGTTTAACAAATTTATATTAAGTTTTATGATTAAAATATCGTCTAAAGTATATTTGTCAAATTTATTTCGTAATGTGGTTACTTTGTAGTGCACTGAAGGATCTTTCCATCGATATATGTGAGCAAAGATCAGCTAGAACTACTCGCTAGAGGGATATTTTGGATAAATGTAAAAATATTTTGATGGGAAGGCAATTTTAGGCTATACATTAATTTGTAATATCCATTATCGAATTAGAGTTAAACAACAAATAAATTGATTTCAGCTTAAAATTAAAGTCGGGCTACTAGAGTCAACTCATGAGGTGACTAATGTCAACTCCTGAGCCAGCATATCTAATCTGTTTGAGCCTTAGCCAATTTTTACAACTTTAGGGCAAGAATTAAATCAACATAAATTATCCTCATTTTTCGATGATATATGAATTATAAATATCTAAAAATCGATAAATTCCTATAATAAATTTTTCCCGGTCTCAGAAGGTAATTATTTCGAATTCCATATCAATTATTTAATTAATATGAAATTGAATTACTCGTCCTCTAATTTTTAATTTTGAATATAAGTTTACAATTTAAAAAAAAAGACTATTATTGAAATATTAGTCCTCTATGCATAAAATTGAGCAAAACATTAACAATAAATTATTATAAGTTGATTTGGGTTGGTGCTCGGGTCTGTTCTCGGGTCGGTGCTCGAGTCGATTCTCGAGTCGATGTTCGGGTCTGTGCTCGGGTCTGTGCTTGGGTCGGTGCTCGGGTCGGTGCTCGGGTCGGTGCTCGGGTCGGTGCTCGGGTCTATGGATTTGGTCGACCAGGTCGACCAATTTGGTTGCTTTGGATCTGGTTCATTTTTTTAACCAAAAACCAGAGTCGTGGTCGTGTAAAACCAGCAGTCCATTAATTGATCCTTTGAAATTGTTTAACGGTATACCAGTGGAAGGAACCTCTTGTGAATTATACATTAAATAGAAAAGTTTTGGAATTTTGACAAAATCTAAAATTAGAACCAACATTTTTTAGTTAAGGCCAATATTTAATGCCTTAATTGATTCTCTGTATTTTTCAAACAGAATGATCAAAAAAAATTAATCGGAAGTTAGTTATCAACAAATTAAAGAAAGTGAATAGAGCATCAATTACCGAAACGTATGCCATTGTGTAGCCCGTTAATTGATCTTCATACAGGATGCCTGCAGAATCAACCGTTAGCGAGTTATGAGCAAATTAAAAATGGTTTGTATATAGCAAATATCGGATATGGCAGAAATAATATTCTGAAACATACTATATTATTTAGTGTTTAATTTGCACCTTTATAATCTCCAAACCGGATATCGATAACACTAGCTAATATCAATTACTGAAACTTATACCAATGTGTAGCCCATAAATTGAACTTCAATCCGGACCAAACGTTACTAAGTTATAAGCAAAAGATAGGCATTAACACTTTGCCAAAACCGAAAATAAAAAGATCATGAAATTGGCAATTATTTAATTTTTGCTTTAATATTCTCCAAAATGGTTACATTTAAAAGCGTGAAATTGACGGAATTACTTGATGTAAATGAGGATCAATTACCGAAACTTATGCCAAATGCCAATGTTTAGCCCGTTAATTGATCTTGAATCCTTTAACTTTATGCCGGTGGAATGAACCTCTTGTGAGTTATAAACAAAATATAAAAGTTTTTGTCATTTTGTTAAAATCTAAAATTAGAGCAACCATTTTTTAGTTAAGGCCAATATTTAGGGCTTTAATTGATCTTCCGCATTCTTCTAAACGGAATGTCAAAAAAATTAAATTGAACTGATTTTTCAGCAGAATAAAGAAAATGTGAATTTTTAAAATGGCGGAACAACTTGAGAATCAATTGCCAAAACCATTCCATTGTGTAGCCCGTTAATTGATCTTCATACCAGACACCGGTGGAATTAACCGTTAGTGAGTTATAAGCAAAATAAGAAAGTTTTGGCTCTTTGCCAAAACAAAATAAAAAAGATCATATTTTGATAGCTTTGTGAAGTTGGTTAACAATTGAAATCACTGACGACGAATAATATTAGTGCTTCGTTAGTGCTTCAATCCGTATAGTAGGCGAAGTTAGAATAAAATAGTTATAAGCAAAAATAAAAACTTTGGTCAATTTCATTCTTAAAAGTCGATTAGAAGCATGAAACATATATTATTCTTTAGTGGTTCGTTAGTTGGCTTAGTGCTTCAATCACTTTTGTAGCCGAAATTAAGAATAAAAAGTTACGAAAAAATAAAATTTAAACAGTAATGGCGGCCAACCAAAACAAAAATATAGAAGTACTAAACATCCAGTTTTCGCCGCTATATAATGCTTAATTAGTACATTCAAATTCCGTAATTAATTTAGTTAACCGTAATATAAAAATAATTAATACGCTACGGAAATGTTTTGAGGTCAATTCTGACCAGAAAAATTATGGAAGCACTAATGATGAAATAGTGCTTCGTTAGTAAATGTTAGTGCTTTAATCAGTTTAGTAGCCGAAATTTAAAAAAAAAGTTATTAACGAAATAAACAAAAAAATGGGGGCATACCAAAACATGAACTAGGTTAATTAGTTCATGAAAATTTTTTATATTACCACAATTTTTATACATAGGAATAGGACATATATGTTGAGTTAAAAAATAAGTAGGAAGCTCATTAGAAGTCTTTTGTGAAAGAGATAAGGATTTAAAAAATTTATACAAGTAGTTAACACATGTACACAGAGTAAACAACCATAATTCATCTATAATATATATAAAAGCCATGTTACAACGTAGTAGCCAATAGTATTATCTTTTAAAAAAATATTCGTCCAATAAAAATCACCATATTATTCGGTTCAATGATAATATCATACCATATCAAACTAGAATTCTTAGGTTAATGATAGGTGCATTAAGTTAGTACCTATCAAATTTGTATTTTGTTTATTTTTCATTTGGATAGGTACTACCAAATCTATTTATAATATATATTTTAAAAAATGTAAAATTCTACTTGGTGGTTCCGTCCTTGGAGAAATGATATATAGGAGGCCGGACTCGACCACGTGATTCCGTTATAATATATGTTAAATAATAAGTTTTTTACATTTTAATAAATTTTGGTCTGTATTTAACAAATTAGGTAGGTATTTAGGAAATCTCCATGCGTTGACTTGGTAGTATCTATCATTAACCGAGAAATATTCATTTTTCAAAAGTATAATTTTTAACAAATTTAATTTAGATAAATAAAATCTCAAAACTCTTGAGAACATGTGCCTTCTATTATAAATATTCCCATCTAATAATATTTGCATTTTATTCAATTATATATCTTTGTTACAATCTTTAAAAAAATTGCCGATTGGGCTTGAAAATGTTGTCATTTGCAGACCTCTGGTGATAAATACATGGGAAAATAAAAGTGACAGACGCATATCATTTATAAATGGACCATTTGGCCGAGGTAAAATCCATTATAATCTGCTCTTTTCTTAATGTCATCCTGACTAGAGGTCTGCAATGGACAAGTTTTGTTGCACCTGTCTGCTCATTTATTTAAAAATTTTGTTTAACTTGCCTGTCCAATGTTTAAAAATTATTATATTTGGCTCTATGTATTATTTTAATGTTTTTTTATTTAAACTTATAAATTATGAAATAAAAAAATAATATCTAATAATAAATAGAAATTAGTTGCTCATTTTGCCTGAAATATATTTCAAATTCACCTGCCCATTGTTTTAAAAATATTTTTTAACCCTCCCACTCACCAACCTAGTGGTGTTAACAGCTAACTTTGATCAAATCCAATATAGCATGGTCAATATTATCCCCTAAAAAAACTTAAACGTCTATATTTAGCTTCAACTTAATGATAGAGACTATTTTTTTTAGAATAAAAATATGGCTAAAACGATAGCTGGCCAAAGTTAGATGGTTTAACAAATACACCAACCCAATATATTTCAGTCTATCCGTAGAATTTTGAACTTTTTTGAATTTTTTTAAGGCAAATGGGTAAAAATAGGTATTGTTAACATGTTAAATTGAAATTGCAGTGAAGATGAAAGTGACAATTGTCATAATCGTTATTATTGTGAATTTTTTTAAGGCAAATGGGTAAAAATAGGAATTGTTAACATGCTAAATTGAAATTGCAGTGAGATGAAAGTGACAATTGTCATAATCGTTATTTTTGAACTTTTTTGAATTTTTTTAAGGCAAATGGGAAAAATAAATATTGTTAGCATGTTAAATTAAAATTTCAGTGAAGATGTACCACAGGAAAGTGACAATTGTCATAATCGTTATTTTTGAACTTTTTTGAATTTTTTTAAGGCAATTGGGTAAAAATATATATTGCAAACATGTTAAATTAAAATTTCAGTGAAGATATACCAAAGGAAAGTGACAATTGACATAATCATTATTTATGAACTTGATTAAGTCAAAGAGCAAAAATCGATATTGTAAAACCTATTCTTTTAATATTTAAGAAAAAATTTTTTAAATATTTTTAAGTATCTCTATTTCCACAAATAAAAAATAATTTTTTTTTTTACTACATATAATAATATATCCATGTTGACTCATCCCCAATTTAGAGCGGCATCAGAAAGTATAATCCGAATAAATAATCGTTCTTATTGTGATAAAATGAGATATATATTTTTATTTATGTAATTTTTATAATATAATTCTTTAATATCTTATTGCCGGAGGCTGGGCCAGAAAATCAACTATCATATAAACTCATTCAAATAAAATACTTATATAAAGATATTTTATGTAATTATAATGCAAAAATAATAATGAATCGACATTTTATGGATTCAAACACGTTCTTCTTTGTTGTAAAAACCTTCCAGCAATGTTATATTCTCGTTCAGATGAGGTACTATTTGCCGGAATTACCAATATTTTCCTTGCTATGACAACTTTAGCAAATCTCTTTCTTGTTGTTTCCACCAAAGTAGTTTTAAATATACAAGAGTTTTTATGATATCAAAAAAGGACATTTTAATATTTAATATCCAAAAAGTTCATAATAATCATTTTTTTTAAATATTTACTTAAATGATTTTAAATTTTTTTAGCCCACCCGCCCATTGCTTAAATTTTTAACCCCCCCTCCCCCCCCCCCATATAATGCAGAGCTCTAACAGAAATCATCAATTGATGGTTTTTGTAATTTACTAAATATATTAAAAATACCGATAGACATTGATGTCTTGTTTGAGGAGATTGTAATTCTTTTTTTTTTATGATTCGCCAGAATACTTAAAGTTAGATGGTCTAAAATTAGAGAAGAATTGGGTGAAATTTTTTTCTTAATAACGATAAATCCCCATACTTGGAAAAAATAGGTATGTTTTTTCCTTATCTCATTTTAATGGCTCATCACAGCGCATTTTTAGCCTGGCGAGGACTGCCTGGAGAAAGGAGAGAAATCGGATTGCTCTAACAACATTAGAGGCCGAGCTAATGGTTAAATAAAATTATAATATGTCATGCCAGCAATTTTATAAATATCTCAATAACGATGGTAAACGTTTAGTTCCATTATTTAAATCTCAAATAAAATATAATTAATATTATAACCCTAATTTTCCATATTTTTTTATTATTTTATAAAATCCTATTTATACATTCGCATAAAATAAATATATTTTAATAAATCAAGATGTTAATAAATCAAGATGTTAATAAGTAAAAATATGTAACTATTTTATTTTGAAAAATAGTTAGCGACTTTGTATTTATATAAAGTAATTATAAAAAATAACAGGCGGATAACTAAGTCAATTCAAAATACTGGGCGAAGGCCGGCAATTTAGCGGTAGCAATTTTTATATTTCTACCGCAATTTTAAAATTTTGACCTGGCAACCCTGGACTGGACTACACATTAATATTGTAATTTAAATATTTGGCCAGCTACTAGTTGTATTTGATTATAAAACCTACCTAAATAACTAACAATGAAATTTATACCTTGTTTTTTTTTATCGAGATTATAATTTATGCGATATCAGGAAAAGGAAATTGCATTATCATTGTACAAAATAACTTTGTATATATTATCTGTCTGTACCAAATTAAATTTCAATTCCCTATCGTCGAAATTTTAAATTATTGAAACTAGATTATGTAGATTTCTAAATATTAATTTATAAAAGATTAATATTTGCATTTTATATAACATTGAATATAGAGAAGTAATATTGGAAAAGAGCTCGTTTTGAGCCTAATTTTTAAAAATGATCAAGTCAATAATTCAGGTAGAAAAATAATGACTAAGCCTCAGATTCTTATAATAGATGTCTAAACCTTAATACCATATATAAGAAAAATAGCTCGCTTAATATTCTTAATTAAATAGTGAGTTTATAATAATCGGCTCAAATATAGTCTTTTAACACTTCATTTAATTAAATTTATAAGGTGAAGGGAAACTAATTAAAAAATGACGAATAATTGAAGCACAAAATAAAATTGTTAAATATATAGGATGTAGTGTTGTTAAAGTTACTTTTAAAACATAACTAGTTACAGTTACTAGTTGCATTCGCAAAAATATAACTAGTTACAGTTATTTTTCAAAAGTAACTAGTTACATTATAAGTTACTTTATACATCATTCATATAACGCATTTATTTAATATAAAAAAATTATGATGTTTAAAAAAATATACAATTTATTTATATAAAAAAATAAGTAAACCGAAAAAAATATCGGAAAATAGAATATTTATATTTACATCGAATAAAAATATCCTATATATTTGCATTGAAAAAAAAACATATTTATTTTTCATAAAAATTTGAGTTTAATAAATGTTTATTTGCTTTTAACAACAATTGGATTTCAAAATATTTATCTAGGAGACGCGCTCGTTTCTCTCCAAAGATGAGCTTCCCTAGACTGAATAAACACTCTACAGGAGCATTTGATGTAATAACAACATTATATTTAATAAAGAGTATTTTTAAATTTGGAAAATCGTCATACAAAGATAATGTGATGTTATTGGATTTAATAAAATTTTCAATAAATTCATCATTATCAATAATATTTTGACGCTTTAAAAAATCCAACTCATCTAATGATGTTTGTTGCGAACATGAGCCATTTGTGTTAGATTCACCGCGAGGTATTAAAGTATTTAATAAATTTAAAATTTCCATCTTTTTGATTTATTCGAGTAATGTTTCTTCCAAATGTTTTATATAGGCACTGAGAAAAATGTTTTTTAGACCTAAATATTTTTTAATTTAATATGATAAAAGAATATACATTACAAATTTATATTAATTAAGTTACAAAAAGTATGATCTGGTTATAAATTTAAACCAAATTGATATAATTATCCTGATTGGTACTTAAAATCTAAAAATATATTTAATATTAAATTTAACTAAGGATAAATTAGAAAAAGTTGCTCTATGCTAAGAGATTTTAGACTAGGGTGTTAGTAAAAAATTAATAAATGCTTATTTATTTATTATAAAATGATTGATATTTACAATATTTATTGACCTTAGTAGCCTTTAATGAATATTTTGGTTAATTTTAATTAATATAATTTTTAGTTGAAATATACTTAGATTTTTATCAACCTATTTTAATTGAAATGCCTAGAGAGATTATTGCTAAACATAGTGGAGAAAAAACACTTATAGTTTATTCTTACAATGAATTAATTTAACCTATAATTAGTTGATGTTATAATTTCTGTTTAATAATAGGATCTATCAGGTTAAATTGGTCACTTCAATGTGAGATATATTTAATAAGGTGATTAAGGAAAAAAATAATACATAAGAAATTGAGTTAATTATAAAGCTTAAGTTTAGACAAAGGAAAACTTAACTTATTTTCAATTAACTTAATTTAGATTTGATATTGCTACATATTTTGTTCTATTTAAATTAATAAGATTTATAGGTTATATTGGTCACTTTCAGGTAAATGTTTGGTCCAGAATTAAAAATCATCTCTTGACCAATCATCTAAATTTACATACAACACTTCTTCATTTCAACAGACTTTTGTTTCATATAAAGATACTCAGAGTTGTTAAAAGATCGAATCGAAAGATCGACGATTTTGGATTCGATCGCAAATTTGTCAATTTTACGAGATTTATGATTCTGACTTAAATTGAGGATCGAGATCGAGATCATTTTGTTTAAAATTCGATCCCGATCTTTTTAAAAATTAATTTTTTACTTAAAAAGCAATAAATAAAATAAAAATTTTGAAAATTAAATTAAAATATTATTTTAAAAAAAAATATCTATCGTCATATTTTATCAACTTCCATTATCAACTTCCATTCCATCATTTATTTTATAGATATATTTATTCATCCTAAATTTTACGAGATTTAGAGCTCTTACAAGTTATTTAATATAAATTTATAATAATATATTAATATTTATTTTAATAGGTAAATGTAAATGTCCATTATAGATTTAGAAGATTCTATTGCTTCTACTATTGATCTAACAGCAGATATAAGTGAGAATGAGAATCTTTTACCATTTTTGAAATTACGTAAGTATTTTACTTTATGTGAAATGGATGAAAGCAACTCTTATAATATGATCAGCACCAAATGCCGTCTATGTAAGAAGATAATATCATCTTCCAAAATATCGTCCTCGAACTTAAAGAGACATTTACAAGTAATTCTTTTAAATTTTTTTTATTTGATAATCTTAATGTCAACATGTTTAAATTTAATTTATTACATTCCTGAGTTGAGCAGGTCCTACAGAAATAGAATCTAGATACAGATTCTTTATAAAAAAAATGAATTATTAGATACAGTATAATTAATAAAATATTTGATGAAGAGTTAATCTTGGTTTTGTTGTTTATATTTAATAATTAGGCATTTATTTTTTAATACTACTATTATATTAGTTTAATAAAGAAGAGTATTTATAATAAATGGAAGTGTAATAATGTATTTTGACTTTCTTTAATATAATTAAAACATCCAGTTCAATGTTATTTGATTGAACTTAGCAATGTTTCACCAAAAGAAAAATAAATATCTATTCTATTATTTCTTTATTATAATATGTTAAATCTAATCAATTAGTATTATAGTTTCAGTTTGAGCTTGATTATATAATCCTCTTGACAACATTTTTAGGGCTTTTTTTAATAATATATTTTGAATTGAAAGTATTTTTTGTATCATTTGACTCAATCCATAAGTTCTTAAATGCCAAAAAGCCTCATTATATTCATAATAGGAAAATACTTTTCAAAATCTTTGGCCCATATCATCTTGGGAAACTTTTAATAATGATAGACAATATTGTAAACTTAAATTTTTAAAATAACCTACCCCCTTTTAACCATTAATAAAACATACTTTAATATGTTTAACAAAATTTGTTGAACCCTTAATCCATAGTTCTTAAATGCCAAAAAGGCTAATTATATTCATATATAGGAAAATATTTTATCAAAATCTTTAGCCCATATCATCTTGGGCAACTTTTAATAATGATAGACAAAGACAATATTACTTAAAATTTAAAATAACCTATATGAACATTTTTTAACCATATATAAATTAAATAATATACTTTAATATGTTTAACAAAATTTGTGTTGAACCCTTTATCATTTTTTTGTTTATATAGGTTTTACATTCAGCCTGTACATTGTTTTTTTAACTTTAAATTTCCATATAAAATTTAAAAAATGAAATTTGATTCAGGAGAAGTTATTTTCATCCAACTTTGATACATACTTTTTTTTTCTTTTATAAAGAAAAAGCACAGTGAATTTAAAAATGAGATTACCAAACACCTCAACGAATTCTCTACACAAAAAAATATATCACTGCAAAACCAAAGTGGTTCTGGTTGCAAATCCAGACAATCTAAATTAAATTTTAACAATCTAAACATTCCAGCTGTATCGCAAAAAACAGCAGACAAGGTTATCATGAATTTTATTATTGACACCTTCCAACCACTGTCTCTGGTTGATGATCCTTCATTTGAAAAAATGATTAAAACTTTTTCTCATGCGACAAAAATTATTTGTCGCCAAACACTGGGCAACAGGATATCTACTTCCTTCTCTTATATGACGACAAATCTTATAAGAGATTTGTCTGAAGTTTCATGCACCACTGCTGATTGTTGGAGTGGGCATCGAAGGTATATTATATTTATATGAATTTTATAATGTTTATTTTATTAGGGCTTTTATTGGACTTACTGCACATTGGCTGGATCCGTTAACCCTCAAGAGAAGGTTAGCCGCTTTGGCACTAAGGAGGATAATTGGGAGGCAAACATATGATGTTTTGGCCAACGAAATCATGGGTATCCACAAGTTTTAAAAAATTCTTAATAAGGTGGTGAAGATGGTGACTGGCAATGTAACCAACTTTGTCAAGGCATTTAAGTAATATTTATATTTAGCAAAAAATATTTAAATAAATTTATTATTTCTAAAGTTTTTGGAGAAAATGAAGAAGATAGTAGTGAGGATATGGAATTGATAAATTTGGATGACATATTATCCGTTGATGACCCAATTATTCCTACTATCAGCCTACCAAAACATCAACGTTGTTGTTGCCATAATCTTAATCTTATTGCAACAACAGATGCGGAGATGGCAGATAGTTGATCTCAATTATAAACGAATATCTAGATCCACTTTTGCAAAATGTTTTGCTTTAGTTATTAAACAAAATATGTCGTCAAAAATGGCGGATATTTTATTGGAGAAATTGGGAAGATATTTAATAGCTCAACAAGACAAGATGGAATTCTTATTACCAATCCATGATATTAATAGATAAGATGCTTTCTGAAAAGTTTGAACAAGTATGTGATCAAATTAGATTTGCAATGTTTAGGCAAGAGGAATGTTTTTTTGTTAAAGAGTATGCAACAGTAATACAATGATATTCTCTAAATAAATTTAAATTTTATAGGCTATGGAATTTTTGGCGATCTCGTTAAAAATCTTGGAACGGGAGGATAATATGGAGCAGGGATATCTAACTCCCGTTTTATCGATATTGATAGATAAATTAACGAAATTTAGCTTCCTGCGGTATTGTCAGCCCCTGGTAGATAGTGTTTTTAGAGGTATTGATAAAAGGTAATATTTTTTATGCAATTATTTTATATTATCAGATATCTGCAAAATATATTAAAAAATTGCAAAGATCTGGCAAATTTAGTAAAATATTTTTAACAGGCCAGTTCTACTAAACCTCTGATATCTAGTAAAATATTAATGGGCCTTTGATGACATTAAAAATTTATTAGATTATTTGAATTTTAAGCTAATATTTTGATAAATATTCTTTGTAAATAAATTACAATGTTAATTTCTTTGTATATTAAGTATTAAGTTTACATTTAATCAATATTTATGATATGACCCAAATATAAATAAATACCATACAGATGATGTGCCAGACTTGACTGTAAAATTTAAAAGGGTTAAGTTTTGCAGATACTTGATTTGATTTATATGAATAAAATGAACACTTATTTAATAATAAATTAATTATCATTTCATAATATAGATTTCCTTTACTGTATGAAGACAGTAACATTTTGGCAGCCATGATTCACCCTAAATTTAGACTTAATTGGCCTTATATTAATCTGCCACAAAATATGATGGTAAAAGAAAGATTAGTTGCCCATTTGGAAAATATGCAGGAACAACCATATGCGGATACCTCAAATGAATGTATGGATGAGATTGATGCTTTTTTGGGAAAAATACTGTACAAAATGTTTGTTCCTAGTGAAGGTCAACGGTCCGGTCCTATAGGTCTTAGACCGGGACGGGATCGGACCGGACCTATTGTCGGACCGATATTTTTGTTGAGGACCGTGGTCCGGACCGGTCTTTTATTAATATTTATGTTTACTTTACTATTCAATTAATATAATTTATTTGTATATTTTATTTTATGATATTTTTCTAGAGGAGTTATTTTAGATTTTGTTAATTTTTATTTACAATATGAAAACCAAAAGTTTGACCAAGAAACATTTTACTTATAGTCCTAATAAAAAACATAGAATATGTGTTCACTGTAATACCAAATTTAACATATCGTCAGCAACAAGTAACAAAATAATTGTTTATAATTTTTTAAGCAATAAATTAATCAAAATAAGCAGTATTATTATTAAAATATTTTGGTTATTATTTATATATCTATTTTTTCTTAAGAAACTGTCTGAATAATTCATTGTCAAAATAATTTAACCTTATTCTTAATAAAATAATTAGCTACCTTAAGCAGACATTTGATAAAACTTAAAATTTATACTTCTAATAATGAAAATGAAAATATCTCAAAAACACAATCTACTCTTATAAATATGCCCTCCACAAGTACAAAATCACTTTCTTCAATACCATTGGATAAATTCCAAACAGATCATATGAACCAACTCATTATAAAATGGGTAATAATGGACTCTCTGCCAATGGAGACTTTTGAAAGTTGATCAAATATTTAAACTCAACTGCTACAATTTGGTCAAAAAATAAAGTTAAAAATTTTTATACAGCTAATTTTGAGAAACTAAGAAATTCTCTAAAAGATATTTTAAATAAAAATAATTCTTTAATAAGCTTTACCACAGATATGTGGAGCAATATAAATAAAATTTCATTTATAGCCATTACTGCACATTATATTGATTCTTCTTTTACATTAAAAAATATTTTACTTGATATAAATCATATCCCATTTCCTCATACTTCTGAAGAAATATCCTTAGCTATAAAAGAAGTAATTGATGTATATCAATTGGAGGAGAATATACTGGCCTGTACTACAGATAATGCCAATAACATCCTAAAAAGCATGGATATTTTGCAGAATATTTATAAGGAACAAATATTTAAAGGCTTTAGATGCTGTGCCCATATTCTTAACAAAATATTTTCTAATCCAAATTTCGACATCCAATTCCATACCAGAACTGTATCAATTTTTCTTTCCAATACCCAAAGATCCAAATTTATTATTTCTTTATTTATTAATACCGGTAAATTTACTTTTCCCAATACCATAATTTCTGAACCATTCAATTGTTTTACCCTCATTTTATCTTTAATTATGGGTTCATTCGACCATAATTTGTAAAATTCATCATACCCCATTACAGATATTGTTGCCCCTGTATCCAATAACATCGAAATTTCTTTATTTCCTACATACACTTTTACTCTTGGACATTGATCAAAATTTTTATTATCTTCCAACTTTAAAATCGGTAAATTATTAATTTGTATATTCTTTCGTGTTACATTTTTCAACATATTTTTATAAATCCCATAAGTGTTACTTACATTTTCTTCATTTTTTCTTTCTATTTTGATGTAACTCCTCCAAATGTTTTTATTTTACTATCATACAGTCATCCTAATGTACAATCTTTCGCATAATGACCAATATTACGACATTTAAAAATTTCTTCTACATAGTGCTGTAAACATTTCTAAAAAAATAGAACGCGTTCACGTTCATGAACCGTTCAAAATTTTATGATAAATTTTTTTTTAAATGTAATTTAATATAAATAAACTTATATTTTTTTAATACATAAAAAATAATATAGTTTTATTTTGATAATATAATTATAAATATAATATAATATAGCGAATAAAAGATATTTTTATTTATAAAAAATTTTTCTTATTAAATTTTAATAACAATTGTTTTCAAAATATTTATCTGATAGACAGAAACACTTGGCAGTTAATACGGCATTAGCTTTACTAAAACCGCGCTCTACAGGGGCAGATAGGGGATTGCGGTATTATACTTAATAAACAGCTCTTTTAACGTAGAGAACTAATTATAAACATTTATTTTTTTGTTATTTGCTTCAAAAAATTGAGATAAGTCATCCTCCTCCAATCCATTCTCTACTTCCTTGACAAAAAAAGGATATCTCGAAATTAACAGTTCTCTAGGGTTTTCAAAGAATTTTTTTTAATAACGCTATAAGTTTATTTTTAATAGGTTCGTTCTGTGGAAGTTTTATCCATGGCCATTGAAGTTTGAATTCTGGATGTATAATTGCAGAAAGAACATATTGATCTTTATATATATGTTCAAATCTTTAAAAAAATAAAATATATGCAATTAATTGAGAGTGATAGGTTTAATACCTTTTATTAATCCTATTTAATACGGCGTCTATCAATGGTTGACCATATTGAGGCCACTAATTTTTTTTAATTTTAATCGTTATTGTTGGGGTCAAATATCCCAAATGCATTATTTTTTCAAATTTAATGATTTTACTTAGTTATATTATATATAATAAAATTATTAATATTACAATCAAATGTCGTTTTAAATTGGAACCTGAAGATTTTGACAATATAATACCTTTTGGCCACATTTTACACTTGGTAAGCATTGAATTAGTTCCTTCAATATAGGATGTTACTGTAAAATATTTATTATATTTGGCCATGGTAATGATAATTCATCTTATTTTCGATTTTCAGAATCAGATGATGAGGATTAAATAATAATATCCATGCTATGCTAATCTATTAAATGAAAATATAAACAATAATATTCAAATTAATATACTATGTGTTAAAAAAATGAAATGTGAAAAGGGAAATACACAGCCGATTAAAAAATATAAATAATACTTTTTTTAAAAAAAATTCAGAATTAAATTTTCAAATAAATAAAATTAAAAAGTATATTTTTAAAATTGAACGAACGTTAAATTCGAACGCGTTCGTCATAAAAAAAGGAACGCGTTCACGTTCAAGGTTCGTCAAAAATAAAAGGAACGCCTTCATCATATTTTTCAAATAAACGAACTTTTTACCTTATTTCGAATTTTTTTATTTTCCACCGTGATCGTATATTTTATAAGTACACTGCGTCCACTCTTCCCAGATATCTTCTCCGTGGTTGAATAAAAAAATAAACGGCACCAACTGTTAGAAGCTCTGAATTATAGATTTTTGAGAATAGATTTTGTTTTATACTTTTTAATATTTTATTTCTTTAAAATCCAAAACTTTACAACGTAAAAAAAATTGAAGAATTAAAAATATATATCATAATTTTTTTTAATATTATTTTTTTTATCAATTATTTTTTATATAATAAATAAATAATAAATATTTATTTATTATAATATAACACTAACAACCATTTTTGCAGCCGGTATGAAGTCATTAATTCTTTATTGCCCTTTTTAAACAAATAAACTAAAGACTTGTGATCCGTATATAATAAAAAGCTTTTTCCAATCAGATATTCTTTGAACTTGGTTAATCCAAACTTAACTGCTAAAGCTTCCTTTTCAATTGTTGAATAATTTCTTTCAGCGCTATTAAATCTTCTAGATAAGAATAAGATCGGTTTCTCAATATTATCCATCGTTTATAATAGCCCTCCTCTTATACCTTCATTAGATACATCTACTGATAATATAATATCTAATCCTAGTTAAAACAATTCAAAATAGATTTATCTACCTTTCTATTTTAAGCATGTCAAAATTTGCATCGTTCTTTTCCCCATTCAAATCTTATATTTTTCTTTAAAAACTTGTTCAACGGTGACGCTATTTCCGCAAAATTTGGCATAAACCGATGATAATAAT